GGGGGGCTGCTGCGCCGGCTTAGGCCGCAGAGCGAGCGGGACTGAGCCGGACTACGCGAGACTGCGCCGGATCAAACGGGGTTCAGCCGGACTTCGGACCAGGGCAGACTCAGAATTCCACCTCCCAAGTGTCCACCTCCCAAGTGTTGCACCTCCCAAGTGCTGCAGAATTCCACGCCCTCGCGGTCTGGAGCCTGGAGCGCGGACACGGGGTCGCACGGATGCGTTACGCGAGGGGCATCCGCGAGAAAACGCCCCGTATCCACTCTGTGGTTCAAAGATGAGGTCCTGAGGCATGGGGTCTTCAGGACGAGGTGACTCACCAATAGAAATCCACCCTCGCATCCTTTCCACTCCTTAGAACCCCATCCCTCAGGACCCCCATCTTTGAACCACCGATCCATGGGGTCGCGGCCCAGGGCTCGTGCGCTGCGTGTGCTTTCGCCAACGGGCCCGTCGTGGGCTGGGGGCTGGCGCGGCTGGGTTTCCCTGCGTCAGGCGCGTGTGGACATCAGGGGCCCAGGCCGTGGATCTCTGGTCGCTCTCGGGCGCCTGCTTAGGCTAACGCGCGGCTACTCCAGGGTGCAGATGTCGTTGACCACCTCTGCGCGTGCTCAAGAAGTTCGGCCGCGGAGAAGGAGGCCCGAGGTGCCCCCCGGAGCGGCATGGTGGCGGGATGGGCCGAAGACCACTGGATCCGCTGCCTCCGTTAGTAGCCTGTCGGATGGGTGCCTGGCATGCCCGACACTCGAATGCGAATGCTTATAGGCCTTTCCAACGAAGCCCTCGTGGACTCTGGCCCGACTGGCCACCCGGACAGCCGGGTTTCTCATAACGGTTCTTCCCAAAATATAGCCCCGGAAGGTTTCTGATGGTAAGGCCCCCTCGAAACTCTCGGCTGGTACTACGTTTTTTATTTGTGCGTTTGCAGAGATAGATCGGGAATATGTGAGATCTGGCGGTTCTGGAGGATTGATCGGGCGCCGCGGCCCTCTCAGAGAGTTCCAGAACGTTCTGAGAGCGCTCCCGAAAGCTCTGGAACGGACTTATCGCTGTCCCAGCCCCGCCCGAGCCAAACCCGTCCTCGTGGCGAGGATTCTCAACGCCCGAGGCCTCCTCCCGCCGTTCCTCCTCCGTGGCCGTCTTCCCTCAGTCTTAGGTCGGGCATGTCCCCCTACAGGCGGATTCTGGACGAAAAATAATAGTAGTCAAAAAATACCCCGAAGTGGCAAAAAACAAATTCGCCGGCCCACCGGGCCATAGGCGTGCTAAGATACCCGGTAACTGATGAACAATATTTCTGGTTCGCGCGCGCCGAGCGGCCCCTGGGGGCCCCTGGACGAAAAGTACCCAGGCAAGGTCCGGGAGAAGCCACCAGAGCACTCCAGGGGAGGGCCATTTTTCAACACCCCTCACGAAGATCGTGGCCTCCGAGGGGGGAGCCGCAATCGACTACCCCCCCTCCCGCCCCAAGAGGCCCCCAAAAGCCCCCCAAGAGGCCCAGGGGGGCCCCAAGACGCCGCCAAGGAGCCCCAAGAGACTCCCAAGAGGTCCTCAAGAGGCCCCCAAGAGACCCTAAAGAGGGCTCCAGGGCTGGCGGAATGAGCGAAGCGATTAAATTTAAAAAATCGCCTCCGTAGTGTTTTTTGAATATTATCGGAGATTCGGCGGTTGGCAAACCTTCCTTTAGTAAACCTCCCCTTAGTGAAAACGACCCAGGGCCGAAATCGACGAACCTGGACGCGCAAAAATGACGGACGCGACGCCCTCTCGCGAACCGAAAACGGCCAATTCCTTCATCGACGTGTCAAGGTAGGAGGTCTGTCCACCTCAGAGAGATTCCCCCTGAAGAGGAACGTGCCCGACGTAACCCTAGCCGCACACTCGTGTGCCCACTGTTCCGGCGCGGCGCGCCGGGTAGCCGAACTCATGGTGCGCGCTGGCCAAAAAACCCTGTGACGGACCCAACCCTTTTCTGGCATCAAGTCGGGCCTGTCCCTCCACAGGGGGCAGATTCACGCAGAGTATTAGACAAATAGTCAGGCGACGACGCTTTAAAGTTTTTGTTGCCTATTGTTTGGGCGGGCATTGTTGTCTAAACTTGATGTACTGTTCGTCCAAAGTCCCCCTGTAGGAGGACATGCCCGACCTAATTCTAACACGAGGCAGCTATTTTCAGGTCCGTTCAACATAGACGAGCATGAGGAAAGAAACACACATACACATACACACAAACACACACACACACACACTTCGCAGCCCCCCCAAGGAGCAGCAAGGTCTCGGATGGGTCCGCGGGGACCTCCACTCCGCTGGACCTCCCAGGAGCCCACGAAACGGGAGACGCTTGCGCGGTTCGCAGCACCCCAGGGCCCGCGAGGTCTCGGCTGGGTCTGCGTGGACCTCCACTCCACGGGACAGCCTAAGAAGATGGCGACACTTGCACGGTTCGCAACCCCGCAGGGAGCCGCGAAGTCTCCGCAGGTCTGCGTGGACCTCCACACTGCTGGACCTCCCAGGAGCCCACGAACATGAGGACAATTGCGCGGTTCGCAACCCCGCAAGGAGCCGCGAGGCCTCGGCAGATCTGCGTGGGCCTCCACTCCGCTGGACCTCCCAGGAGCCCACGAAAGTGGCGACAGTTGCGCGGATCGCAGCCCCGCAGGGCCCGCGAGGTATCGACGAGGGAGAGGGCGACTAAGAAGGAAAGAGGGGGGCTGAGAGGAGGGGAGGAGGCGTGGAGGAGGGAGGAGGGCAGGAGGAAGACGGAAGGAGGAGGTGGGGCCCACACTGCGCTATTCAAAGCGAGAAACCAATCAAGGGAGGGTTGGGGAATCAAGTGGTTTCGCCAAGCCCTAGGGCCATCGAAGGCCAGCACAATGGGGGTACCTCACATGCCACATTCCCATTCGTGCAGGTCGTAGGGCCGCTCCCGCTGCCAATATCGATCAACGAAAAACGTATACCTGCCAAGTGCCTCATCACCAATATCAATAGTATCCCTCTATATGCATAAATGTACACATGTGTGTATATATAGATGGGTCCGCCATCGCGCTTGCAGCGGTTGGCGTGTCGGGCCTGTCCTGGTTCCGTGTTTCACCCCTCGAGAAGCAGTGGTTGAAGACCCCCCCCCGAACGCATCGAACCCGACATCCTTTGAGCTGTTCCACCAAGTCCCTGGGTTGTGCGCCCTCCGACAGCAGATGGCGCACACGAGTCATCGTCTGGGCAAACTGGTGCAGTGCCATCCCCCTGACGCGACGCCCCCTTCGGCGCCCGACCGAGCGCCCTGGCGGAATCGCGCCGCAGCGCAACTGGACATACAAAACATAGTTACACATGTAGACATTGTAAAGACATGTCGACATTGAATATACACAGCACACATATGCATACATTGTATATACATATACATGTCGATATCTATAGCACACATCTGTAGACTTTGTATCTGCATGGCATACGTGCATACGCATGCATGTACACATATATATATATATATATATATATATCTATACACATATGTACAGACACTGAAGTCACGCGCGCTTCGCGAGCGCTGAGCTTCCAGCCGCGCCCAAGGAACTCGCATCACAAGTTGTGAGTGCGAACCGGAGGGACGATGTGGCAGGGCAGTCGGGGTTGGTACATGGACCTGCGGCAACTTGCTTGGCGATTATGGCAACGTGCAAGGGAATAGTGTCTCGGGGTCGTTTTTGAGCCGCCTTGAAACTATCTTGGGCTGTTTGGGGGGCTCATTGGGGACCGATTGGGTCCCTGTTGGCGCACGTGTTGGGACCGCCTTGGGCTTATCTCGTGCAGTATTGCATCTCTTCTTGGGCCGTGCTGCGTTCCTCGGGGAGCTCCTTGTGCTGTCTTGGGCTGCCTCGGGTGCCCTCTCGGGCCGTCTTTTGGAACTCTACCGGGCTGATGGGTTTGGAACGCCCGCGAGTTTCCCCCAGGGCCCGACACGTGAAAACCTTAAATATTCGGTACTTTTCTGGGCCGCTCGAAATTTTCCCTGGTGATCAAGGCTAAAATAGGCTGAAGCATCATAGCCAGAGAGGCTCCGGCCCGCCAGACCGCCGCCACCGCCGCTGATCGGCCGTCCTGGACGCGCGGAGGCCAGCGAAGCGGGCACGCCGGGAGCAGAAACCGAGACTCTGGACGCCCGAAATGGGTACGGAAAACATGGGCACCATGCCCAACAACAAATGGTGTCCCAAACCAACAGCGGCCGCTGTTGGGCGGGCGGCCTTCTGTCTCGGATGGACACAGGCCGCGGCGGCGCGGGCAGCGAGTCCTGTTCAGAATGAGCAGGAACTGTTGTTGGGCGTCGTACCCATTCTTTCCGTACCCATTTCGGGCGTCCAGAAAGACACTGCATCAGGGAGTTTTGCCGGGGCGACCTCCCCTGGAAGCGTTGTCGGAGGCATTTCGAGGTCAGGGAACGTCTGCACTCGATACAGCACCCGAGAAAACAAAACAACTCACAAGTGCCAGGGTCCTCTCCCAGTCCTGATCCTCGTCCGCCTCCTCCTCCAGTTGCGCAGGAGTAGTCCGCAACATCCTGGCTGCGGAAGCCTGTCACCTCGGGGTCGCGGGCAAACGTCTTCTTGGGTGCCTCTGCTGGCCTGCTGGCGGTCCCTGTCCCTGGGTTTTTTGTTCTTGGGGCTTCTTGGGCCGCGTGTTAACATCTTGGGAAAGGAGGGCCAGGATCTTCCATACTTCGTTGAAGGTGGGGCAGGGAGGGACAGCAACACAGATCATTGCCTGAAAGGTGTCCACGCACCCGCGGGACCTCTTCGGGGCCTCTTGGGGCCTCCTGGAAGCCTCTTCGGTGGGCTCGTGGCGGCCTCTTTGGGGTCCTCTTGGGGGCCTCTTGAGACCTCTTGGGGCCTCTCGGGAGCCACTTGGTGCCTCCTGGGCCCTTCTTGTGGCCTCTTTGGGCGAAATTGGGTATCTTGGGGGCATCTTGGGCCGCCTTAGGCCCTTTTTTTGTGCGGCGAGGGTGCCGGGAGACGTCTCAAGATATGATGCGTACGCGCGGTGACCTCTGGGGCGCGTCACTTTTGGACATGGCCCACTCGCTTGCCTTGTGCTGTAATGGCGGAGCCGGTCGCAATAATGAGCGCGGAGTCCCGTTGTCGGGCACATCGCTATGCCTCCCACACTTGCGCACCAACTGCTGGGAGCCTGGCGCACAGAGTAAGAGCCATCAAACATGGCCCCCTGTAAAAGGCCAGCGCCGCGCGAGCCCCCTCGCCGCCAGCGCGCGCGCGCCAGATACAAGACGGGGCAAACTCGCGACTAGGATCTGCGTCGCATTACGATGTCCAAAACATTGCAGATGCGCTATGCAGATTGCCGAATTCGAAGCACCGCTGTAAATGCCAAAAAACAGTCACGAAGCTCGGGTGGCACATGAAACCTACAGACCTGGTCAACTGCCCAGGTTCGCGTGGCCGACCTGTGTGCCGTCCGACCTGCCAGCGCCGATCGCTTACATGTTAGACCGACGCGCTATCGCGATCAAGCGATAGAGGCATTGTTCTGACTCTCGTCCTCGCTCTCGCTCTCCTCCTCGTCTGCATCCTCTTGCCACTCGGGGTCGGCAAAGCCAGGCTGTTGGTCAACAATGGGAGGTGTGGGAATTGACATGGCATCTTCGAGGCGCGCCGTCTTCCCTCGATGCTTGCTGCGGAGGTGCAACACCACTACGTTGACCAAGTCCAGAGCCGCCAACCCGGCACAAGCGTAGAAGAAAGGGTTGTAGGAGGCGGTACTGCTCGCAACGGCTGCACCAGAGGTGTCCTGGAGGAAGATGTAGTACCCCCCCACGGGCCCAGCCAACTTGCCCACGCCCACACCCACCTCGAGAAGGGGAAGGACGTTGGCCAGATCCTTCGCGCCGTACAGCTCGAGGGCGAGCAAATTACGCAGGGTGCTCGAGCCCGCAAACGAGGCGCCAGTCAGGGAGTTGGCCACGATGAGCCAGCAGATCGGGAGGTGCTTCACGATAGCAGGGCAGCATGCATAGAGCGCGGCGCTGCTTGCCAACAAGACCATGTGGACAGGCATCAGTGGGAAGCGCTGCGTCAGCAGCGGGAGCCCAATGCGCATCAATGCGTAGACTGCGAGGACAAAGGCTGCAAAGTAGGCCGACTGGAGGTAAGTGACATCATAGGTCGTCTGGAAGATGGGGCTAAGCAGGGCCTTCAGGCCGAAGCCAAAGAAGAAAATCGCGAAGAAGTGGAAAAGTAATTGCCAGAATTGCAGCGAGCTCAACACAGAAATCGTGCTGAACTCGGGCGACGTAGAGCGAGCCGGGGCATTGGAGCTTGCGTCCATCGCAGCTTGCGGAGGAGCATGCAACCCATCGGCGAATGTGAGCCACAACGGGACCAACGTCGCCGCGAAGACGACAGCCGCCAAGATGTACATCGCAGACTCCAAGCCGAGACCATCAATGAGACTTGCTGAGAGAAGCGTAAATGCCACGGACCAAAGCCCAACAGAACCCCCCATCATACCGGCCCCTTTGGCTTGCTCCCCTGTGAGAGCCCACCACTGAACTGCCACGATTTTCTCGACAAACTGAGCTGCCGTCAAGCCGACGCCACCTACAGCAGCCCCGAAATACTGCACCCAAAAACTTCCACCTCCTGCAGTCACGCCGATGGACAAAGGGAACAAAAAGGCAGCCACAGCCAAGATACCTAGCGCCCGCTCACCGACGATCTTCCTGCGAAGAAGGAGCGCCAACAAGGGGAAGTACACACATAAGGCCATGAAAATGAAGAACCCTGGCTGTGTAACTCCCGGGGCGAACCAATGGGACATGCCTGACGGCACCGCTTTGTTCATGTGGTCCACCCACGTCGAAGAGCCAACATAGATCCCAGGGATTGCATCAAGGCACATTGCTGCAATCGTAGCCTTCCACTTTAGACGCTGCTGCTCAGCGCTCAAGGGAACCACGCCACACTTGCCCTCACCGCAGGGCTTCGACTTCAAGCCCTTGACCTTCTCAGGCTTACCATGAGTCGTTGTCGCCATGCTAGCAAAACGATAATGGAACCCAATATTGTGTGAGATGTCCGACCTGCTGCTGGGCCGCCGCACTCTCGCTTTAGATCCCTGAGCAGAGACGCTTGAGCCAAAATGGCTATGGGGCCGCCTTGGCCCCTCTTGGGGGCCTCTTGCGATGTCTTTGGGTGATGTATGGTGGCTCTCAGGTCGTCGCGGACCGTCAACACTCCAACAGCGAATACTTTACACATGCAAATTCTGCCACACAAAGAAATTGGTCATGCTTTGCATGTTGGGCTCTCTGGGGAGCCTTCTCGGGGCGTCGTGGGGGCCTCTTGGGCCGTCTTGTAGCCATCTTGGGCGTCTGGGAAAGCTTGTGGGCCGCCTCGAGGGCCTCCTGGACCGTACTGGAAGCTTCTTGCGACCCTCTTGCCATACCTGGACAACTCCGGGGGAGCACCTGAAGCCCCTGAACCAGATGGGAGGTTCGAGGTGCTGGTCTTTTGACCCCAACTCCTTCCCTGGGTAGATGCGCATATGCATGCATACATATAGGGGGCGTGTCCGATGATCGGATCTTTGGCTTGGAAGCCCACGCGTTGGTGTCTGAACGGGCTTGGCGGTCGCGGGGGTTCTGGGCCAACGTTAGGCAATAGTGCAAATCTCGTCGGGACCATTTGGGACTCCGAGGCCATCATGGAGCCACACTTTCGCAACACATGGGAATTCCATAACAGAAAGGACAACACATTGGGACCCTTTTTGGTTTGAGCAAGTTTGGCCCTTTTGGCAGCAATGTGTGGGCACTCTGGCGGCCTCTTGGGGTCTCAGTGTGCTGCTGGAGACTTCCTGTGGAATTCCTGAGACTTCCTGGGGCATTCCTGGGGGCATTCTGGGCCGTCGTCACCTGGGCCCACTCGGAACTTCTGCACATATCCGAAGTCTCATGGGGGAGCTCGAAGGGACGAGGGGAAGGAGGTGGAGGGGGAGGATGAGGAGGAGGAGGAGGAGGAGGACGAGGAGGAGCAGGAGGAGGAGGACAAGGAGGACAAGGAGGAACGGGAGGGAGAGGAAGTGGGGAGAAGGAGGAGGACGAGGAATGAGCAGGAAAAAGGGAGGAGGAAGAAGAAGGAGAAAAGAAAGGGGGAAAGAGGGAGGGGAGTGAGAACGTGAGGAGAGAGACGGAGGATGGTGTGGAAGAAAGTAAATAATAAAGGAACGACAAAAAGGGTGAGAGAGAAAAGTGGGAAGGGAAAGGGAGGAAGCAGGGGAGAGGAAGGAGGGGTGGGGGAGGGAGAGGGGGAGGAGGCAGGACGAGAAATAGGATGAGGAAGTTTGATGGGGGGAGCGTTTGTCCACTTGGTGTTTGTATATTTCCTGGAATGAAGGTGTCTTCGACTTGAGGCGTGCAAGAAGTATCCGTTATCTCTGTAGGGTCCGCTGGGTGGACTCATGAGGGTCACTTGGGCGTCTACTGGGGGTCTCTGGGGGTCCTTCTTGGAGGCTTCTTGGGGGACTCTTGGGGATTGGGGACCACCGGGATTCTCTGGGTGCCACCTTGGCGCCGAGAGCGATCGGAGGGCCGCTCGGTGGGCGTTTGGGCGTCCTCTTTCGAGCCTTGGGGACCTTTTGAAGCATTTCTGGTCCGTATCGAGCGCCTCTTGGGCCGTCTTGGGGCCATCCTGGGTTTCTTGAGGCCCTCTTGGTGGCCTCTTTGGCGGCCTTGGGGCGCTCTTGGGGATCTCTGGGAGCCGCCTGGAACGCTGGTGGGACCAACAGCAAAGATCAAAATATACACGTTGTCGTGAGGAGATGAAGCGATGTTTGCCGCCCTGGGCCCTGGAGGGGGATCTCTTGGAGCTGTCTTGGCGCGTCTTTGGGGCCTTTCGGGCGGTTTTGAAGCCATCTTGGGCCGTCCTGGGGCAGTCTGGAAGCCATCTGTACGAGACCTATGTTGCTTCACATCAGCAATTTAGCCCCTGCTGACTTTTTCCAAAATGATATATGGGGATGAAACGCTGCCGCTGGATATATCGAGCACTGTTGATCACAACACAAACGCTCCTGCGATCCCCGCCAAAATGGAAAGAAATGGTAAGCTCAGATCCGCATGGCTACACTGCAACCGAACCGCTTGACCACCATCTCGACCGAACTGGCGGAATTCGACCACGCGTCCGACAAAATACGTTCGACGAGGGATGCGCTGCACAATGCCCCGGCCACGGGCAGCGCTACGAGGGAAAGCGGGCCCTTCGATGTGTCACTTTCAGCGCCCGTGAAAGTGACACCTCCCAGGGCCCACTTAAAGAGCACCAGAAAGGCTCCAAGAAGGCCCCGAGAAGGCCCCAGGGCGGCACCAAGAGGGCTCCCAGAGGGACCCAAGAGAGGCCCCAAGAAGGGCCCAAGAGGGCCCTCCGCGGTGTCACTTTCAACGCCCGTGAAAATGACACCTCCCAGGGCCCACTTAGGGCCTCAGAAAAGCTCTAAGAAGGCCCCGAAAGGGCCATAGAGAGCCGCCCTGGGTTCAACTCCGCGTGGCGGAGTTGGAAGCGATAACTTCAATACCCTACTGGAGGCCTCTTAGGGGCCCTAAGACGGCACTGAAGAACCCCATCGGGGCTTTTTCAAAGGCAGAGGAGGGCGCAAAAAGGGGCCTCAGTGAGCCCCTGGTCTAACTCCACCTGGCGGAATTGGAAGCGATATCGCCCGGCGCCTTCATGGAGCCGCTCGGAGCTTCCAAGACGGCTCCAGAAGGCCCCAGGAGGGCCCCAAGAGGATCGAACGACGATTCCTGGAAGTGCACCAGTGAGACCCTTGTTGACCTCCGCCTGGCGGAGTTGGAAGCGACAATTTCCAGTGCCCTCTTGGGGCCTCTGGGGGGCCCCTCAGAAAGCTTTGGGGAGCACAGTGAAGGCCTTCGCAGGGCCGCGTGAGAGCCGTACCAGGGCCGCATGTGTGCGCGGATGGGGGCGACGAGTGCTGACGCTGACGAATATGAGAATGATGAGGGCGATCAAGGCTGGCCCGAAACAAATCCTGGCGCCATTGCAGGCCGCCGATTATCGGCCACGCCGCCAGGACGACGCCAAGCAACAAAACGACACCAACCAACAAACCGACACCAACCAACAAACCAACAAATCGACACCGGCCAACAAAAGGACACCAAGCAACAAAACGACACCAAGCAACAAAACGACACCAACCAACGAAACGACACCAACCAACAAAACGGCACGAATCAACAAAACGGCACTGACCAACCAAACGACAAATCACTTCACGACACCAATGAACAACGCGAAATCCACCGACCGCCAACCAAGCATAAAATCAACCGACACAACGAAACCAACCCATAGAGCCAGACCAACCACTGGATTCGTGAGTCGGGGTAGTCATGGAAGTGAGCCGCTGCAGCCCGCGGAAGCCATTAACAGTGACCAGAGCACCGCAATGCAGCAACGTCCCCGGGCGGCGGCGGGAGTCTTGGATCTCCCGCGGGACTGGAGCGTAGCGAGTTCGTCCTGGGTCCGGTTTAGTGAAGTGAAGAATTTCGGGGTGCTTGCATGGCAAAAACCTTCACTTCACTAATCTGGGGCCCCTGGAGCCCCAGGGCGTTTCAGGTCCCCTCGCTGTCTGGGTAGTCCAGGGGGCGCAGTGGCGGCTTACCAGAGGCCCTGTTCCCTAGCCTCACTTGCTTTCACCCGTGGTGCTCGACGGCCGTCTCGGAGCTGTCTTGTGGCGGTCTGGGGCAATCCCGAAGCCTCTTGGAGCCATCCCAAGGCCCCAAGGCGCCACCAATGGGGGCCCCAAGAGAGCTCCCAGAGGGCCCCGAAAGGCCTACAACAGATTGCACGTTCGCGCGAATTCTTTGTACCACTTTGGGGGGTCCCTCTTGGGGCCCTCGGGGAACGTTCTTGGGGCCCTCCGAGGGCCCACTGGGGCCCCGGGAAGGCCCCAAGAACGCTCCCAGAGGGCCCCAAGAATGCTCCAAGAGGGCCCCAAGAGGACCCCCACAAGTGACAAAAACTATTTGCATGAGGGTGCAACTTACTCGGCGCCTCTTGGGGCGCTCTTGGAGCCGTGCTGGGCGCCACTCGTGGACGACATGGGCTGGGCGACGGCATGTGGACCCTGTCGCTTGGGCCATCGGGGGTGCTCCCCAATGGGGCCACGAAGCTTGTGAGCGTATGACGGAATGGGCTGGGCGGCGGCCTGTGGGCCCTGCCTGTGGGGCCGTCGGTGTAGCTCCCCGTGGGGCCACGAAGCGTGTGAAACGTATGCCGAAATATGCTGGGCGGCGGCCTGGGAAACCTGCCGCTGGGACCTTTTTTTGGTGGAGCTGCCTCTCGGGGCACGAAATGTTTGAGGGTGTCATCAATGTGGCCTGGGCGACAACATGTGGACCTTGCCGCCGGGACCTCCGATGAGCTCCTCATGGGGACACGAAGCGTCTGAGGGGCGTGCCGACATGGGCTGGCGGCGCACTAAGGACCCTGCCGATGGGGCCTTCGGTGGAACACCTCACAAGGCCACGAGACTTGCGGGGGATGTGGCGAAGCAGAGACGCGGGGAAACAAGGGGGTGTTTTGATGATGTTGATGAGGATGGTGGTGGTATTGATGATGGAGACGGCGAGAATGCTGATGATGCTGATGATGATGGTGATGGCGACGATGACGATGGACGATGACGACGGAGACACGCGGAGAGCAGGGGCAGATACGCGAAGAGGGAGGACGAGGGAGGGGGCCGGAAGGAATGACGCGGGGCGGTGTCTCTTCAAAACGAAGAACCAACACTGCAATATGGTAGGAAATTTCTGGACGACCCCCCCCCGTGGCGCGGTCAACGTCCGCGACAGCATCGCTGGCACTACGAACGAAATGATCGAACTCTTCCTGCGACGTTACCCGCTGGGTGGATCAGCCAGGAATGGGGGTCGAAACCGCCCCAGCGCAAAGCAAATGTACAATCCTGAGAAACCCCAGCCCACATCAACCGATCCGCAACAAGCACGCAAGCCTTTGACGACCCCAACGCACGTGACATAGCATAACGCGACGCGCCATCGAAAACGTTCGACGCGCGGCCTCGGAATGACATCGGGCTTCATGGAACGTCGAATGGAAAACATGAAAAACCGCCCTGTGGGCTCCGAGACCCAAAATTACTGATGTGAAGGATTTCGGCTCGTCGAATCTGGGACGCGTGGAACT